AGCAAGGTTGGGTGTGCCTGCTCTTCACGACTGTCATTCTTAGCTGGTATGGAGGTGACATAAAGCCTGATGACACTGCCACCCATGGCCGCCCACACACGCCCACGCTCACAGTATTGTTAACACCCGGTGTATGAAGCACCGACAACACCACATCCCAACCCCGAGGACGGCCAGGGGGCACATCAGACCGAGCCAGCAAGCAAGTGGGAGACTGCGTAGCGCCATGAGGGGTTGTGTCACAGAGGTTCCAGTGCAGGCGGGCGGAGTGGTGCTCAGTGATTCAACATGGAAAGGACTTATAACGCGCATAATCCACCAGCAAAACAGAGTTATCGATGAATGTCTAAGGGAATATCAAAAGCATAATCACAACTGTGTAATAGACAGATGCCTTTATTTGAGTGCAGAAGATAACTAGCAGTTGCACAGCCTGGTAGAACTTGTATTGTTAGACATCTTCAATGGACACTGCGCTATCCACCTCCTTTCCTACACTTGGCTTTCACCCAGCTCCTACCCTCATCCTCTACCCTAAGACTTTTCTGGCTCCTTGCGAAAATTTGTTTGACTCTTTTAAGCAGATGACATTCCACCTGCTAGCAAAATTTTAAGTACCATCCATTCCTTCAGTTTTCAAAAAGTTAATGAGTGCTAATACTAACAGTCGCTCTCACTTTGCAATTCCTTTTTTCTTATTCTTCAAATTCCTGACAAGATCTTTGACTTGTCCTTGTGGTAACTTCCCCACCACTGGGACATGAACTGCTGCCATCTATGTCCACACTGTTTAAATAGTGATAAATTTCGTCGTTCTTTCTCAGACATCAGGAATTATTGATAACTATCAAAACAGGATACACTTTATTAAGAACAGTTTTATATTGCAATATTATCAGTCAAATACTTCCTCTTGCTTTTTTTTCAATGTATAGATCCATGAAGCTCTGTAAATAGAAAAGAATGCAGCATCAGAATTTCATTGGCCATAGTTAATAGGGCATTTGTGGAGGGAGTTGCATTGGTGAAGTTGGTGCTTTCTGTCTCCCTCTTCCCCAAGTGGAGACGTCCACGAAGAACTTCACCCAATGCCCTCTCTTCACCCGCTCCCTGCCTTTTATTTTAATTCCACCTTTTTCCTCCTCTATTATCATTCCTCCCAATTAGTTTCCTCCTGACGGTCTGTGGAGTAGATCAACCATTGGTTTATAACATTTACATATTCAACAATGCTATAAGAAGATGAACGACTGCTAGTATTTGGTGGTAAAACAAATAATATTTATTTGCAAGTTTCAGTTTCCATTTCTTGTATAAATTAATTGCAAACCTTTAGTTCCCGCTTCCCTCTCCTTCCTAACCACCCTCTGGTCTTCCCCATATGATTTTACTTCTTGGCTGATCTCAAGAAATGTTATGCAGCTCACATTTTTGTCCTTGAAGGAGCCACACTCTGCTCTTGCGTCTTTGTTACTCTTGTTGCCACGTTGTTTACCTTTTGAGACTGTGTTGTCTGATTCTCGATTGCCTTATTATGTAGAATTATTGGCAAGGATCGTTTATCGTGCAATTTCTTGTAGATATGCTGCTGTCTGCAAGACAATTGTAACTGAACCTACGAAAATATTAGTGTAAGGTTATGCCGTGCATAATTACTCATCATAATTACATAAAGTGTCCACCAGTCTGAAACTGAAGTACAGAAAAGCCATTTGCATAAATAACTACAACATGAACACCCAAGGATGAAATGGACAATGCGGTGCCGTTTCTGCGGTGGGGTAGTTGCACGCAAGAGTGCCAAGGGTCCGGGTCTGGCGCGTCCTCTTCCCCCCTGGTGACGCTGTGCGACCCCGCCTCTCCCCGCCCGCCGTGCCCGCCCACCGCTGCTACCAACCGCCACCCGTCTCCCTTACAGAACGCAATGCTAAAGCTCTGCAACGGCTGGCTGTCGATTCAGTGTCGGGTGTCAGGCATCCTGCCACCAAAAGCCTCCTCCTTATGTTATAATCACTGTTCCAAAGGTTTCATTTCTGATCCCAACTCTGTTCCACTTCCTAATGTAAGAATAATGGCTGAATTCCGGCGAAGAATCTTTTTTTCTGTGAACAATTGGAAAATAAGATAGAATTTTCTCTCGTAATACTACTCCAGGCTTGACTGTGCTGGCGCGAGTGGGCATGGTGCCACTCTGGCAGCCAATCAACGAGCGACTCTGTTTCCCTCCAGGGCGGCACGCCGCCCCTTGTTTGTAGTAGGTGATGGTAGGTCAGTGCAGGCCCCTGAGGGCCTCGCTCTCAGTGTATTGTCCACCGCTACACCGCTCGGCCATCACACGGCACTCTGCCCTCTCGACCATACAACAACGGCTTGTAACTGCAGACACTAACTTTTAAGAGACAGTGCTGTGAAACTCCTTCAGATTTGTACATCTCTTGGTTTGCAACATGGAGTGCCCCACCGGAGCTCACGGCTCTCCACACCTCATCCATATTCTACACTAAATTATTCTGCCGTTGTCGATGGGGCACTCGCAAGCACTCGGTTATTATTGCTTTTCTTTGTTTAATTTTCATTATCCTGATGTGATATGAATTATGTAATATTCAAACTGTTATATTTTTGATAAACAGATTTGTTTTTTCTATTCTCAGTGAGATGTAATAGTTTAAAGCTACGCCCTTTTGTATGTTAAATCAACAAAGAGCAAGAGACTTGCAGGAGACGGCAATACCCGCTACACGTCTTCCCCGTGTGTAGCAGGTCTGCCATCTTAAAATTCCTGGTAAAGTATGTTGAAAAGGACATACAGCTCACAGTTATGATCAAGCCCGGTTCCTTTGTTTTCTGTATCCTTTATGTGACAACGACAAGGCGATGTATTGCAGCTTGCCTCAAATTATGTGGTTTGCGGAGATTGATCGGGCCCTCGCATCCTGCCTCCGCGCCGGCCGCCGACCTTGGCATCCCCAGGGCGTCACAAGGGCTGTGGATTCCGCGGCGACGGACGTCTGCGCTGCCGCCGCGTCGCCGTCTCACAGCCTTGGATCGGCCCTGGTATGGTCCCCTCGTTTCTCGGACGGACGGAGGACGGGGCCCGAATCACGAACAACAGAGGACATTAGCCAGAAGGTAGAACAAGTTTCTCAAGTGACGGTCATGGGCGATGGTGTTGGTCACGAAGTTCGGACGAGGAAACGGAGGAAGAGCAAAAGTTGCAGCACATTGCAGAAACTCAAACGAAATGCTCCAGTGAAGTAACGACTATAAACTCTAAAGACATTGAGTATTAACAATAAAATTATCAAATTTAGGTCATTTGAATCCAAAAGAAATTAAAGTGTGGCTGTCCCAACAGAGAGCACAGAACATTAGATCGAATAGTTGCAAAAAAGGGTAGAAGGAAGTGTACGCTATAGCTCATTAGACTCAGATGTCCAGTAATGAAAAAAAAACGAGATACAAATGCGAAAAAAGGGCTTCAAGAGGAAAACAATAATACCTTACCAGAAGACCGTGAGAAAACGTTCCATCCGACAGCAAGACGCAAAGAGGAACTGCAAACCACCGTAACAGTGAACCTTCTCTCCCTCTCCCCCCTTGGATCAGACTTTCGTCGAAGTCTAAGGCGTGAGAGGTCGGCACATTGGAACTCCCAGGGTTTCCATCATGGATCCTTGTTCACGTTGGCCATAAGGTCGTGCTGGTCACCTCTGTCAGTGTCAGCTGGGCTGCTGCCGCTGTGTTACGCATTGCCAATCACTAGTCGATTGTATGCTTCGTGAATGCTAGTTTAAGTCGTGGTTGAGCGAGGGAAATTCAAATCCACAAGAGGACATTACAATTAGTCTACAAGACACCACGCCAAGGACGCTTTGGTAGTGGGAGGCACCGACTCGTGGAGCGGAGATTGCTAGATGCTTGTACTAGTACCCTGCACAACACTCACTCAGCGCGTTATTATGAAAATTTAAGCTCTGAAGGTTTTCCTCACCCAAAGACTTTTAAAAAGTTCTCGTAGTTTGCTTAGAAAGAATGCAAAAATATATCATGATGTTCTTCACATACTCTCAACAATGTACCAACGATCATCCTGTGTGAGAACTTGGTGTTGTAGCCCGGTGGCTGGCACGTCGAGTGTGCTGGCATGGAACGCAACATGTCACGCATGCTGACGTGCACCTTCTGACATACCAGACACATTGTTGTGTAGATACTGACAAACCAGCAACACTAGTTATTCCAAAGACGATAATATTAATTAACTATACACAAAAGCTTATCACTGTCATATAGGCAGCAGCAAATCAGCTACACCTTGTGAAGTAATTAACATACCAGTTACTCTGGTTACAGCTCGCATATCGATACACAAGTCACTGTCTTAATAACACGATACACTCAAGCTAAAAGGTCCGTCACACTGTTTTAACCACATGTTCCTCTCATGTAGTTACATCATATCCACATACATTCCTACATTAAATTGCCAATTACACAAGTGTAAATGTATAGTTACACTGATGTGCATTTGTGGCGTATCAGTCACACTGTTGGGTTACAATTTGGTTTAATTATTATCAAAGAAAAATTTAATATTTCTCTTATTGCAATATCGGTATACTATTGTGTCGTTATCAAAATTCCAGGTCATTCAACTTGCAAACTCGTTGAGTACACCAAACACGCTTTCTAGTTCTTCATAATTTGGACATGTTTTATATAATTTTACTGTCGTATGTGAGGAGGACGTAAGGCAAATGTCCTATTCATTCAGCTAGTTACAGTTATTATGTAATACCAGCAGAGTGGACATTCATGTCTTACACTGCAAACACGACTAATTCTGTTTGATTTGAGTTCGTCAAGAAGTTTGGTCATATATATTAGAGTTAAAAAACAAAACAAAAAAAACATCATAAGGTATTCTATCACCACACTTTTTTCTGTGTTAGTGATCAAATAGTTTCAGTTCGCTTCATTTTTTTCTCTCTCTTTAT